CTAATTATTTCCCTCCCATGGCCCAGCAAGCCTTAAAGGTTAATCACTGTCCGTCTAGCTAATTCTGTCTGGGTGCACTGCAGTAATTACAACACCTCGCTCCCTCTTGTCTGCTCTCTCACCTTTTTCTCTATTGTGAACCTTGCTCGCTCTAGTGCTCTCTCCTGCAACCTCTCTCATTATAGATAGTGGATCTCTCTCTCTCTCTCTCTCGCTAACAAAGACTTATACACTGTAAATTTGAAGTAGTGTCCAGGGCTTTTACTTTAACTGCAGGAAGCACCAGGTCTTTATTTCAAACAGGCTTACGGACAGGCTTTAGTATATACAGTATAAGTATATTCTTTATTATTTTACTAAGATATCTGCTTGTTTTCAATTCCCCTACAACTTGAATTTGCTGTTTTTGCTGTTAGTGTGAACGCACCATCCTGAAAATCAGACTGAATTGCCTCTTTGTGTTCATGTTAGCCGATTTCCTGTTGGTAGGGTGGGTTATTTAATTCTCCCTTACAGTTGTGAGTCCTGCAACTCTCTGCTAAAATCGTTATTTTTAGTCAAACTTACAACAACAACCTGTCAAGCTGTGCCGATTTCAACTACTTTTCTATACTTTTCTTTTTTTCCCGCCATTCTTTTTTTTTGCCATATTTTTTTTATGGAGCGCAGTGGCTTCCCAGCTGTGAAGGAAGACAACATCACCGCTCTGTATCCGGTCTTTGAAGCTCTGATCTGATCCGATCGACTGTCTCTTCAACTGGTGTAAATGGTCGTCAACAAACACAACGTTAGACCTATAACAATCAGTGTGCAGTAATTCAGAGGTGTGTTTATCTGCTGTCATGCTAAATATAGGATAATCTACATTTCCACATCACTTATTCTCTCAGTAAAACAACTCATGTCATATTCCCCACTTTGCTCCTCAGTTTCACACCTTACCAGAAACACTCTTCCAACTCATTTGACTTTTATCAATTTATATATCGATACGTACATATATATATATATATATATATATATATAGATAATCTTTATATAGATTTTTCATAGATATAGAGTTGTATTTGTCTTCCATCAGATTTTGGAGGGAGGGTTTCCTTTTCACACCTCCTCTCTTTCTCACACTTCTCACTCTCCCTTTTCTCTATCTTATCACCACCTCTCTCTCCTTTTCTTTCTCATCCTACCTTCTTGTCACCTAATGTCTCCCTCTCTCCCTACTCTTCTCACCATTCCTCCTCCTCTCTTTTTTTCTCTTCATCATCTCATCACCACTCACCGCCACCTTCTCACTTCATTTCTCTCTCTCCCTCTCCCTGTCTCTCTCTCTCTCCCTCTCTGTGGCTCAACTTCCTACTGGTTACAGCTATATTCATCTATAGCAGCAGCTCAAGGAAGTGCGCCCTGGGCCTAGAAATACTCCACCATGTCTTCACCTTCCAATGTTTTCTCTCCCTGCCAAAAGCATCTCCAGGAGCGACAGCTTAGGAGACTTAAAATACCTATGTTTCCTTCTCCCCCTGAACTATTCCACTTCCTCACCATTCCATCACATGCATTCATTCCACGGATACGGTTCATACAAGAAACTATAAACAATGGTTATAATAATAATAATAATAATAATAATAATGATAATGATAACAATAATAATAATAATCACCAATATCAAATAAAAACGTATGTTAATTATTCCTATCTTTACTCCTATAAATTTGTTATTTACTTCCTGTGACGATTCTCATGAATTTTTTTCATGTATTTCCTCACATCCACCATATTTCATTCTTTTCTGTCCCACTGTCCTTCCTCCCTGATGCCCACAGAGGCTCCACTAACAGGCTGCATCCTGCTGAGGTTGGTGGGCTGTCGCTTCCCATATCATCAATACAGAGGAGAGGAGAGGAGAGGAGAGGAGAGGAGAGGAGGTGTGGAAGATGTGACAAAAACATGATGAAGAAAAGGGATGGGAGGCTGAGAGTAGCCCTTAGCAAAGTGTCATCACTCAGCTAAACTCTCTGCCTTTCACTCTCTATTTTCCACTTGCTAAGATACCAAAACAGCAGCGGGTGATAGAAGCTGCTTTATTACACTCAATATGTTTTCCAAGAACTTCAAGGAGTGACAAAGATTCCTAGAATTTAGTTTCTCGGCCCCTGCGGCAAAGCCCTGTTTGAGAGTCTGTGGGCAGACGGGTGCTGATGGCGGCGGCGGTGGTGATGTGGAGTGCTGCTGGTGTGGCGGTGATGGAGGAGGGCAGCTGCTGGAATTGATGAGGAAGAGACAAGGGAAGCTGAGAATCATGGTGTGAGGAGCAAGCCAGGCAGAGGATGGAAAATAACAGCGTCTGGTTGTTGTTATGAAACAAGATGATGCATTGTGCAAAAGTGAGAAGTGCTTTGTGTAGAAAGCAAAGAAATGAGGTTAAAGTGGGAAACTGCAGGGTGCCATGGAGTCCATAGGAAAAGCTGATAAAGAGAGAAAGTGAATGTGTGTGTGTGTGTGTGTGTGTGTGTGTGTGTGTGTGTGTGTGTGTGTGTGTGTGTGTGTGTGTGTGTATAAATTACATACATCATGGATAGTGGATAGGTGAATGTAGTGGGAGCACGTTACATGTGTCTTTGGCAAAAGGTCAAATTAAATAGGGGCAATAATGTTAACCAGTTACATGACTGTGTAGTATCATGTGTGAATCGTGTGGATTTATACTTACTGTACCTGACTGTAATAAGCACATTCATGTATTCTTAGATTACACTGAAAATGATAAATGTATAAATTAGAGTCAAATTATTTGGTTATTATAACTTGCATTACAGTTTAGAACTATTCTATACATTCTTGATATTCTTGCAATATTAAACTTATTTGCCATAGTTATTAGAGTGGGTTCGTAATAAGTATACTTGAGCTACCAATAGCTACAAATATTTACTATCTAATACCCTTTGTGTTTCTCTGCTGAATATTTCTGAGGTAACAGTTGAGGTTATTATTGATTTCTTGCAACTAGAGGACGTTAACCTGAGTGAATTATGAAGACTGTGCGGAAAATCCTCTCTTGATATTGGGCAGACTTTATTAGTGTAATAGATGGTGGTTTCAACAGTTCGTCTAATACTTTCAAAGCTAATTTTTTGCTGGAAAGTCATATCTTAATAATGCATTGTGAATTGAGAGAACTCTACAGTATTTCTGTGCAGATCTTTCTCCCAAGCGTGATAAAGTATTAATATCTGCTTATAATTAAACTGACTGTGTTTCCGTTTTTAGACTATTAACAGTGTCAACATATTGCTTGCAATAGCGAAGGTATTTGTTCTTCTGTCAGCGCATCAGCCCTGATTATCCTCGTGCATGCGTTGGTGTGAATGGACACCAACGCATATGGTTAAGGTAAGTGCCTTGCATACATCAGGTAGACTGTAAACACTCTATAGTTATCCTAAAATGTGATATGAAACAACTTTACCCGAAGCTTATCACTGCCCAACCTGTGCAGGTAAGCAAAGCTGTCAATCTTAAAAGTAGCCTGGGGAGCTTTCTGACCACTACTTGCAGTATGGTGCAATGTTTTGCACGACAATGCACATAAACACACACACACAAACACACACACACACACACACACACACACACACACACACATTTCCATGCATGTGACACCACAGGCTACACAGTGCTGGTTTCGCACTATTCCACTGACATCAAAAGCACAGTTGCAAAGAACAAGCAAAGGCGAGGATGAGAAAGACATATGGAAATGGTGTAGGCTTCAAATTTGTTTTTCCAAATATCAGCTCTGCAAATGTTCTATGAGGGAAGAAATGCATTCAGCATGCATAGAGCTCCCAGAATGCATTTTGGTAAATAACAGTGGCTGTAAGCATAACTTACAAAAACAGGCAACCTTTAAAGCAGCAGAAAGTGACATTTGCTTGCTCACACAAAATAGGTGAGGCTGGCTGTTTGGTGACTGCTTGTAAAGCTATGGTGAAATGCTGTAGCCATGTGAGCAAACCATCAATTTGCCAGCCGGCCCTGACAAGCTGGCGCTAATCAGTCACAAAGATTCTCTTGGTTTTCTTTCTACAGTACTGTTTACTTCCACCTGGCGTTTTGTTCACTCTCACTCAAACCATTTCATTCAATAAATTGCTATCAACGAAGAAAAGTAAAGTTCACTAAGCTAACAAGCTTGTCAATGGTTTCTCAGCATGCTTGTCAGCTAGATAGCATAGCTCGGTCTCTAATGAGACAGTAAGCGGTGAGTTGACAACATTTTTTCAAAAACTTTTCTTGGGACAGCTTTTACTCTGACAGAAAATACAAGTTACTAAATGAAAGTTGACGGTGCAACACAGCTAATAAGCTACAATAGCTCCCTCTGTTGCTCTCCGTCCCCTCACTGTGAAAACAGCGTGCTATTGGTCAGTGGCACAAATTTACATGTCATAGGTCACCAAAGTCAAACACTATATATAACATTCACACGTATTAATTCCTTGAGTGGATCCTCAGGTTGCACTGATTCCATAAAAATTCATCAATTTCACCTTTTAATTTTTTGCCTTTTTAACCTCTGCTGCAACCAGGCCTTAAAGCTGCGCCAGTTAATTATGTAGGCTATTCTAACACGATGGCTCTAGATGACATTGAGAAGTAAATGTGGCCTTCGATAATGAGAAGTCATCATGTTTACCAGGCTGCAGGCTTTAAAACATGCAGTGATGGCCATGACTACAGATGGTATGTGCATAAATACTTGACAGTAAATGATTTGAATATTTATCAGAATGTGAGATGTCAGTCTCCTTGTAAATAATCTTTACCCGGGAGAGATACAGATACAGTATGTGCTCTGAAAACCTGGAGTGTTGTGAAGCTTGTGTGAACAAATTATATGCCAGATATGATTCACAGTATTAGGGTGAAATATGTGCAGAATGTGAGTACATTTTTATGCTGGACAAAGTTTCAAGGCTGAAAAAGTCTACCTTGTGTGAGAAGTTGAAGGGTCCTGACTTCCTCCCGGACACGAAGCTGCAGGACCTGCTGCAGGATGTGCTGCCTCTGGGCTTCCTGCATGATACCCATTCTTTCCAGCTTTCTGTCTGTCAATCTCATCAGAGCCCGCCCTGCATGAAAAAAAACAAAAACAAAAACAAGGTTGAAGGTTAAGGGACAGAAGGAGCAGGAGGCAAGGGGGAATTCAGCATGCTCTGCTGGAGACACTCTAAAAGGGTACAGACAAAGCATTCACGTCAGTGGAGGAACAGGGTGAGGAAACACGCACCCAAATAAAATGCCAGAAGATTAAATCTGCATAAAATCAAACTGTTTTATGTGTCTTTCCCCATTATGTGACCACCAACTACTCTCAAACTTCTATTAAGCTAAGCACAACTCAGTGTGAAGCATACTGCTCTAAAAACACAGCATGTTTCACAGGAATATCAGTACTGTATATCCCTTGAGCAAATTCCCCCACAGCTTCCTTAATTGCAAATCCTTGTGTAAAATCCATAATTTAATCATTCAATCAGTTTCTATGAAGGGGATTTGGGCTACTGATAAAACATGAGTAGAGTATGGCGTAATTATTAATGCTTGTTATGAGTGCCTTTGTAACGTGGGATGGTAAGCAGATAGGATGATAATTCAGGGTAATTACTAGGCATTGGGTTGGACCCCGACAGCTCCCTTTGCTGCCTTGCCCTGATGGCAGAAACGGGCTCTGATTGGCTGACAGTCGAGGAAGCCTGTCGCATTCTTCTCCCTCTTATTTTTCCTCCTTTTTTCCATCTCATCTGTGTCTGTTTACGGTCAGATCATTAAAATGAACAAACATGAAGCTTCATTCATTACTGATGCAAGACTGAAATTGAATTTCCATACATTAAATGGGTTCTCTTGCTCTTATTTAATGCCTCTTTTAGAAAAACAACAACCGAGAGTAAGGCAGACTTCATAATTTCATGTCTCTTCACTTGTTGGGATGATCTATTTTAAATGGTTAGGACATGCCGAGCCCCACACTACCACTTTGCTACCACGGCACAAAAGGGAGTAGTTGGGAAAGCTAAGTACCCTTAAGTGCTAGTGTTGTAACGTTGACTGTTTTGTGCCAGTTTCTCCTGCCTTAACAAAAGAAGCTCTTTGCTCGGTGCTGCGGCCAGATGGGGGTAAAATGCCAAACATAGTTAAGATGCTTCGACGCAAAATGGCGCTCAAAATGCATTACATAAACACTGGAGAGCTAAGTAGAGTCATAAAGGCTCAGAAGTGAGGGAAGCGTATCAAATGGGAAGAGGGAAAGACAAAGATTAGCGAGGTGGAAAGAGAAAGTGGACTGATGAATAAAAGGCGGGCCAGAGGGCGGAAAGTTGGGGAGAAGATGGGGGACATACAGAATTGACAGAAAACCGACATGCACATAAAGCATGCTGTCATGAGTCTATAAATATTGACCAACCATCACTTGGCACCTCATCGTGTAACCAAAGATAGATCGGCATGGAAACAGAGGTTCACTCTTTCTCTGCTTCAGTGATGTCTATCTTAAATAACAGCAGATACAAGAGACAGAACACAGCTCTCTAACCAGATTAACAGATGATTCACACAGCATCTTTGCTAATGTGTATATTACAAAAAACAATAATGACAACAAAGTTTTTTGGGATTATTTATTGAGATGTTCACATGTTGACACGGAGGGAGAGCATTTCTTTCAATCGGTGTGTTGTGTTGACTTTGGCTTTAATCATAATTGCAAAAACAACCAATTTTTTTCCTTCAGATATTTTTTTTTCTTTTCTTCTGACCTTTCCCTGACCTTAAACTCTCTCTGAACAATGCAGTGATGAGCTGATAAAGTGGTGACGTTAGGTGTTGGGGCCATCTTGGTCTCTTTTAGTTTTAACCATGCGTTCGCATAAATTCACTCTTTCCTGCACCAAGTGTTTGATGGCTTCTTTCAGCCCTGGGTTTTGCATCTCAGGCTAACACATGGCAGTAAAGGACAGTGCTCTTTGTAGAAAATATGTAAATACAAATGTATGAGGTCTCTCCTATTGGTGCACATAGTATTTCAAAAGTTTTAGTGGAGTAAAATTAAGTTAGAGCAGCCCATTAACCATTATGATGTGTTATTTGTGAAACTGTGAATGACCTTTGTTTGCTAATAAGTAATTCACAGACAAATACATGTACAGTATGTTCTCCTACACAGAGACACTTATGTTTGTACTTAAGAAAAAAAATGTTTTAACCTCAATAATAGTAATGTAAATCAGCTTATTCTGGGTTTGGGAGGGGTAGTGCTGTGTGAAAAGTACTGTCAACACCAATGACACATGTAACGCATATGAAATTCTTTGTTTACTTAACCATGTTTTACAGCTGGTGTTCCTGAGAATCCAAGAGGAAATAATGTGTAATTTTCTATACAAACTGAAACGTGTCATTAGCTCAGCGAATAAATCCTTGGTGTTTGTTTTGACTCATGTATACTGTGTGACTTCACAAGTTAGTTACTCCATGACACGCTACAAATCATGGACTAATGTGTTGCTGTGAGGAACACGACACTGAGAGCACAGGAGCTGTTAAAGCCTCAGCAGGTACTGAAAAAAAATGAACCATAGGGTTCCAACGGGTATCACTACTAACGTTTGCAAGCTAGGCTAACTAGCTTCCACTGTCCTAGTTGAAGCTTGTAGCTTGCAGGCCTCCACTTGACACAAACTTGACAGCACAATGGGTCCTTCCAAAATGCTGAGTGTTGTAACAGATGTCTCAAATAACTAAATATAATAACCAAAGGTATGTGGGCTTGTTGAAAAAGGGGAAAAAATGTCTTCTATGAACATTTGTAGGCTGTACAGGGCTATGACATACATCAGTGGTTTGACAGCAAGTCTCCAAACAATCCTCCCTCAAATGTCAGTCAAACACTGCGATGGGAAACACCCCGCCAGAGGCCTGAAGCTTAGACACTGTTCCCACAAACATATCCAAAGGGAGTTGTATCCTGTTTTGGAAAATGGAGAATTCAAATGTCAAATGGACTTAAGGGGGCTAATTGTACATTTTATCTGCCGCCGAAAGTGGTTTGTTGCCGGGAGAGGGTGGTGGAGACTGTTGCTTGACAAGAGCTTCGGCCATGGTTGTGTTTACAAGACAAGAATGCACCCTCTGAGCACTACGTCTTCATGGAAGACTGGAGGCAACAGTGAGTCGCAATTGGAAAGTGACGAGACGGACCAGCGCACGCTAACCAGCTAAGAAAGACGCGATGGGGACAAGAGTTAACATTGGCGTCGCTTTCAACTGCTGGAGACAGCTCTCGGTGAATAACGAAATAAAGTTTGACGCTGAACTCGCAACGTCTGGTAAGTAAACAGCTGTTAATGCTAACGCTGGCTATGTAGGAATAGCTGAAACTTACAAACAGCTCTTTTAAATGTATATGCAACTATAATAAAAGTCACAAGGTATAAAGGTGATAAAACAATGTTAGGTATGTTTTTGGAGTCTTTAATGACTCTCCAGGACCCCAAACAGAAAATTAGGGTTCATGAAACCTTCCGGTTCCGATTAAGGACTGGTCATGAAAACCATTTAGCGTGAATGTTTAATTCACTAAAGTTGCCATTGAGATTTTAATAAATCAGGTCTGATATCTGGCTCCGAACAAACTGCCAGTTCTCGGTGGTGGGTGCCAACGTGCCGCTTCTTCCGCTCGGCGAGGCAGTATCAGCAGGGTGGAACAGCTTCTGTAAGGAGTCCAAGCTTTCACTCTCTTGCCCTGCAGTTCTGAGTCATTGGCATCGACAATCCCACCAAGCCTCAGCTGGGAATTTTTCAAACCACAATTAATACACTGAGCAGTGTACCATGGCCATGAGGAGAGGAGGAGGATGAGGAGGAGGAGGAGGAGGACAGGACAGACAGAAATTGATCAAGGGGAAATACATGAGGTAAGTGAGGGAGAGACACTTGCAGAAAAGTTGAAACATCTCAAAGTGTGAAAAATAATGAATTGGCTGGAAGAAGGCACCGCAAACAATGTCAGCTTGGTCTTTTGCTGCATGGCTAATTCTATACACTTACAGCACTATGATAGAGCACGGCCTCATTTGGCAGGTCAATGCAAAATTATACAAAGAAGACATAGCAGAAAATCATTAACTCCTGACCCAAAACATATACTGCACACAATCACAGCGACAGCATTGTCACTTTCTCACTTAGCAACAGGGAACTTAATGTGGGCATGTGTATAATTACTGGCTTTTTTCAACTCTATTCACTTACTCTATCTGTGGTTCTGCCATAACAGCTTCTTTTACCAGAGGAGCGGTTGGATTCATCATCCTCTCCTCTCCTCATCATGCTTGACAAATTTAAGCAAATTTCTGATACCTCTGCAAAAATAAAATGTGAATTAGTATGTGTTTCCATCAACAACCTACGTGTGAACAGTTCACCAAGGCGTGACAGGATTACATGATTCTCTTGCTCCTACAGTCATTTAAAAGGGGGCCCGTGACTGCAGTCCAGCAGTATAAATATTTGGTAACCATCTTGGACGATAAGCTTAGTGCTGGTGCCAACATTGATTTTATTTATACAGAGGCAAACCAAGATTGAAGAAGAAGATTGTTCCCCTACAGGAAGCTTAAGCTCCCAGTGGCAACCTGCGTGCGATCTCCTTTGTAAATACATGCGTGTAAGCTGCGCACACGTTTGTGTGGGAGCTGCCATTGCTCCCAGACACTGCAGTGGGTGCTGTGGACGAATCTACAAAAAGCACACGAGAAGAAAAAAGCAGGAAAACTTGATATTCTTCCTATGTTTCTTGTCTTTATAACTACATTGGTTATCCTGAGTTTTGGAAGGAGATGGTAGAGAGGGAGTCCCACAAACCAATGAACCAATCATCAACAAGGATGTCGGTGCGGCTGCAGACTGCAATGTTTCACATTTCAAGAGGTTTTCAAATGTGCTGGGTTCGTGTATTTGTCGAGCCTTGAGTGAGAAGCATGCAACAGCCTCAGGATCTTAAATTTAGGCAAGTCTGTGTTTAAAGTTTTTATACTTCCTGCTATTAACAATGGCTGAACATATAATC